AAAGGTGTTAAATAGCAAGTTGCCGATTGATATATGTAATCGTGTATGTGAATATGATAAATGCGATAAGTGTAGGAAGAAGATAATAGAAATGGAAGATTTTGATGAAAACCCCAGATTTTCAAAACTAAACAAAGTTCAAAAGATAATAATACACATTCTATATCGTAACCATGACATTGATACAATTATGGACAGGCGCAAATACAAAAACATCATCAAAAGGTCAAATAACCCACTGCGGAAGATAATGAAGCACTTTGTAAATATCAGAAACCATTCAGACAGGGAGCGTTTTATGTTTCACGGTGTATGTCATGCTAGTTTATTATATAGTGTCATAAGCCGTTTATCAGACACAAAAGTTTTGAAGGAAATCGCATATTATAAGATTAAAACCGCTACTATTAGATTTAACGGTTTTGAAATTAGTAAGGAAGTTATAGTAAAGGAAATAATACGCGAATGTTTTGATTTTTGGCTGGTGGGTTGGAGGGATTATTACAATACAACAACCGAAGAAATTATGGAGTATGTAGAGTATGTGTTTTCGCTATAGTTTCGCAACTATAACATTATTTTTCTTATAATGTTATGTTTGTAACCATCCTAAACCCTAAAAGTCACTACACCCGACGTGTCAAAATTGATTTTGGCGTTTTTTTTGCTTTCTGCTTGTTTTTGTATGGGTTTTGCCTATATTTTGAAGGTGTTTTCGTTTTTTTGGTCATATCAAACCCCTTTGAGTTGAAAATTTGAGGTTTATTTTTTGTTGTATTTTTGTTTTTAATAGTTTTATGATTTTTATGATTTTTTATTTGTAAAATATGTATTTTTATCCAAGGCACTGGTAGTCGTAGAAGTCGGTCACTGTGTCCGCAGTGGTGTCGTAGAGCACGAGGATGCGTGTAGTTGTTCGGTGTCCTTCGGGCGGGGAAGTGGGAGGCAGTGAGGAAAGGGGGTAAGGGTTTAAGGCAAAGCAGAGCATCGTCGTAAGGATTTTTGGCGCACCGACCGCCACGGCTCAAGCACTGCGCGACACACCGCTGACTGATTTCACACAGTCGGGGGAGCGGATGAGGATGTCAGGGCTTTCTTCGCTCCCTTCATCTCTGTAATGAACCTCTCAAATGCTCGGGCATCATCAAAGCAATCAGCGTAACCCTCGCCGAAGTGGGACTGCGCGAAGCGGAGCACTTTGGTAAGGCGGTCGCGGACATCCTACGAGGGGTCACTATTGAAACCAATCGGGGCACTATTGAAACCAATCGGGGCACTATTGAAACCAATCGGGGCACTATTGAAACCAATCGGGGCACTATTGTAACCCAGTCCTGTATGGCTTTCACCTGTGGGACACACGCTAGGATTTTCCCAGCCCTGAAGTCCAGCGTGTTGCCCCCCTTGGAGGCTTTCACCATCTCGTCCAGCGTCTCAAGGGTCACCAGCGGGGACAAGCACATCTGCTCAAAGTCGGCGCGCCCCCACTTCTGTGCGAAAGTTTGTAGGAGCAATTTGACTTCATCAGGGTCGGTCTCCGCAGACTGGACGCTTTCGTCCTCATTCTTTCGGCGCTTTCCGCCTCCCTTGAGACGCAACACAAGCACCACCTCCAAATCATGACTGTCGTCGTCAATGTAGTCCTTGAGGGTCGCGTTGATGGTCTCCATGCTTTGACCTCCGCATGTCAGGTAGAACAGTTCCGAGTTGAGCACGAACTTGCCAGCCTTAACATTGATTTTGTCGCTGACTAGGTCTTTGAAGCTCCTCACGGTGGTGTAGTCGGGGACGGCCAAGGTGATGGGGGAATTGCCTTTCATTGTAGTCACCTTCACATTTAGCATGATGACAGGGTCGGCCTCGTCGTCGTCCCACTTCTTCAAGAAGTCGGCGCTGAAGAGGTAGTCCCCGTTCTCGTCCAGCTCACAAAAGTCGCGGATGTCGTCCTCTGGCTTGCCCTCGTCAATCATGAGATGAATCTGTAAGCCCTCGTGGATGTTGGTCTCGCAGGCGAGGTTGTTGTCGGGGAGCTCCTCGCCGATGTCCTCTGGCACGGTGTCGCCCACGGCATAGGTGGAGAACTGCCACAGGTGGAGCTTCGCAATGTCAAAGCCCTTTGTGACCGCAATCTTCTCCTTCAGGTTCAGGATTGTTTCGTTGCCCTCAATCGGCAACTCAAAGATGTCCGTGACGATGCGGTCATCACCACCAAAGACTGTCACCCAAGTAGCAGGCTCGGTGTCACTCTCCTCACTTGACGAAACAGGCACTGTAGAACTGGAGGACGCCGAAGGTTTGGGCATCGCCTTACTGGAAGCACGCCTCGTAAGCATTCCCCAGTTTTCCTCAATCTTGTCAATGACCTCCTCTTTGTGTGCTTTGGCGAAGTTGGTCAAGCGAAGCCCCAATGAGTTGAAGAGGGTCTTCAGCTGGTCTCTGGTCATCTTCTGAAAGGGAGCCCTGTTAAATCGTGTCATGGCATTCGCCTTCAACTGCTCAACGGTGGTCACCATGCCAGCACGAACCTCAACTGGAATCGTGGCATTTCCCTCTTCGTCACGAAGAAAGATGACCACGCTTGACATAGCGACTACAACTGAACTTGCCGAAGGCTGAAAGCTGGGACTGCTGAAGTCTCAAAAAAGGCTTCGGCGAGTGCGTTCAATGCTGTCTCAATTAATGGACAGTCTTCAACACTCGCACCTGTCACTTGGCATTACAAAAAGGCAAGGCACACCGACACTAAACCCTAAACTCTAAACCCTTAAAACCAGTCCTCCCGACGATGAAGATGTTGTCGTCGCTGTAGCGCATCCGACAGGAGGGGCTTCTTATTCTGCTACCTTATCCCTAAACCTTATTCCTATTATAGATATTTTATTAGAGAATACCATTTCCATTTTCAAGGGTTGGGGATTTCGGGTTGGGAATATGGGTTTTTCTATGGGGGTGTTGGTGTATGGGGTTAAGGGTGGGGGTTTTCTATGTGGGTCTTGGTGTGGGTCTTCTGGTGGTTCCATGGTATGGGTCTTACTATGGGTATTTTGGTGAGTTTAGGGTTGAGGTATAGGTTGTTATGGTTTGGGTCATTGGGTGGCCTAGGGGGGTGGGCATGGTTAGAAAATGGAAATGGTATCCACTAACTAAAGATCGGGTTTCGGGTGTGCGGGCTTAGGTTTGAGGGCCTCACGCCTGTAGTAGGGTTTCAGCGTCATGGGTTTTAGCGTTTGAGAGCATCGCCTTTTAAGGGCTTAGGGTTTAGGGTTTAGGGCTTAGGGTAGACGCCGAAGCATCACCGAGCATTGCACCGATCGGGGCCAGGCATATGGGAGACAAAACTCATGGCTTATAAACCCTATAAATGCCTATAAACCCCATAAACCCTAAACCCTATAAACCCTAAACCCTATAAACCCTACATAAACCCTATAAAAGCCCATAAACCCTAAACCCTAAAAAAACCTGTATAAACCCTATAAAAGCCTATAAACCCTGTACACCCTAAACCCTATAAACACTAAACCCTAATGGCTTGAGCCGAGCGTGCGTCCATAGCCTGGTAAGCTGAAATGCTGCAGGGCTGGTTCACATGGTGTTTAGTCATCTTACATGTAGGGTTTAGGGTTTAGGCGGTTTAGGGTTTAGGGTTTAGGGTTTGTATGCCTTTCTGTCTTTCGTTGATTGCTTCTTTCCCTCGTTGCTTCTTTATGGTAGTCGTGCTTTCTCAATCTCTGTCTCTTTCTCTCCTTCGCTCTTTCTGTCTTTATTCTCTCCTTCTTACTCTCTCCCGCGACCCCCCTCCCCCCCTTCCCCCCCCCCGGCGAGTCAAGGTGCTGTTCGTATCATTGTGGCTTGTCGTCCTTTTTCTTGATATGCTGCTTTCCCGAGGGTCTACTTGATATGCTCACGACTATCAATCACTTTCGAGTATGAACGGGGTTAGCGTCGACTTCTTGCTGGCGCAGGGCTTCACCTCGAATGACTGTTTTCAGCCACCCAAATGTGGACCATCCAAGCAGGAACGTGAGCACGAACACCTTTATCCGGTATATGCATGAAGGCCCATAATTATCCTAGAGCTGCACGGACCTACGGATGTAGCATCTTCGAGAGCCTCTTGGTTGCGGCCTTCAGGCTGTTTGAGGATGACGGGTGTGCAAGAGACATTTGTTTCAACCTGGGGGGGGGCTTGGGTAGAAGGAGTCTCGCGGCAAAGCGTGTGAAAGGTTGATCGCATCGGAACCTGAGAACCCTGCTTTAGGCTAAGGCGAAACTCCTCTTCTTGAGAACAAAGCTCAAATGACCGACAGTGGATTCCAACGGTACGGGATCTCACAACAAAAACAGGGCATGTACCTTGCGCACAGATCGTGCAGAGAATTGATCGAGCGGCTTTTTTTCCCGAACGCAAGCAGAGCGATACGGAGCATCTCGCGATGCTGTCAGAAGCCTTGTGCTGCTGTCTGCTCCTCCTCCTTTTAAAGTACCAGCAGGGGGTTTAGGGTTTGGGGTTTAGGGGCAGCAGATGCTTTCATGCGTCATCCCAAGCAGAGCTATATGAAGTAGGGTTTTTATTTCTTGTACCCCCAAAAGGACACCAGGTATATACACTCACCAATATTGAAAAGGAACCTTATATACACTCACCAAAAACAGAAATATAAACCCTGCCTAAACCCTAAACCCTAAACCCTAAACCCTAAACCCTAAACCCTAAACCCCAAACCTAAACCCTAAACCCTAAACCCTAAACCCTGCTTCATATAGCAATGGCAAGGCCAAGGCCTCCATGCCGACGTCATGGTGCGAAAGCTCCCTCAGAGCACAGGTCTTCGACAAACAATGGCCTGAGTTTGGGGTTTAGGGTTTAGGGTTTAGGGTTTGGGGTTTGGGGTTTAGGGTTTAGGGTTTAGGGTTTAGGGTTTAGGGGTCCAGCACTGAGGCTTGCACTCCAGCTGGGCGTCAAGGCCTCTTCTCAATGCCGCAAGCTCTCAAACCAACTATCTACAGACAAGAAGATCGAGCACGCACATACACACGTGCCCTCTCGCCCACTCGCTCACTTCACTCACGACAGACCATTCCACTGCCGCCTCCAGTCGCATCGCCAAGTCGCGGATAACACTGCGAAGATGCTGTCTCATTCGGCGTTCCTTCGAACGTGGGAGTTTACGAAAATAGGGGGGGGACCTTAGTATCGACCCCCAAAGGGTTCTTGCACTCCAGCTGGGCATCAAGACCTCTTCTCAATGCCGCAAGCTCTCAAACCAACTATCTACAGACAAGAACATCGAGCACGCACATACACACGTGCCCTCTCGCCCACTCGCTCACTTCACTCACGACAGACCATTCCACTGCCGCCTCCAGCCGCATCGCCAAGTCGCGGATGACACCGCGAAGATGCTGTCTCATTCGGCGTTCCTTCGAACGTGGGAGTTTACGAAATAGGGGGGGGGACCTTAAGCATCGACCCCCAAAGGGTTCTTGCACTCCAGCTGGGCGTCAAGGCCTCTTCTCAATGCCGCAAGCTCTCAAACCAACTATCTACAGACAAGAAGATCGAGCACGCACATACACCTGTGCCCTCTCCCCCACTCGCTCACTTCACTCACGACAGACCATTCCACGAAGTCCATCCCTTGCACCTGACCCTTACCCCCTACGGAACCCACGATTTCTGACCGCCAACCTCCGTGCGTGCTTGCCCTGCCCCTACCCCCTACTCCTCCCGAGCCCGAAGTCCATCACCCAAACCCGAAGTCCATCCCTTGCAATTGACCCTTACCCCCTACAACCCCCCTCACCGCCCCGACCTGACGTCCCCTTCCGCCCCCCGAGCAGGGGACCCCCCCGACCAGGGGGCCCCCCCGTCGCGGAGCGCTTGCGCGCTCGCTATTTCGCGTACTCCCTCTGCGCCTGTGGCTGACTTGCCGAAGATTTCGGCCACGTCCGCTGCAACCAGTTCCACGTCCGGGTCACTTGCCGCATCGTCGCTTTCCCGGTTCCACGGGGGTCGGCGGCAGCGGCGTTAGCCCTTAAATAAGTGTAATATCAGGATCATTATTTTAATTCTTGGGGGTAAGGATTGAGCAGCGTTCAGCAACCGCAGGGGGCTTCCGTCTAGAACATCCCTGTCTGTCGTTTCATTATCGCAATGCTGGGGAGGTGCGACGCTCAGAACTCAGGGTTCAGGATGTAAGGATTGTCGCGACTCCGCATTGCGGCACATGCATGCGTCTCGCAACTCTGCTACCTACCCTAAGGGTAGTATATACTTGGGCCCTAAAGCTACTATATGGGAAGCCCTTTAAGGCCTAGTATAGGTACATGGATCCTTAGGGCTAGAGGTCTAGAACCCTGGAAGCCGACAAATTCAGCCGAAGATGCACCATCGGTGCCGAAGAGGCGAACAGGATCGCGGCCTCAGGAGAAGCTCCGAAGCATCTCCCAACGTCCCAAAGGCCAGCTTGCAATAAACCCTAAACCCGAAACCCTAAACCCTAAACCCTAAACCCGAGAATCCCCCTTATCTGAACCTCCCCTGAAACTCAAAAAACCAATGCTGCGGAGCCGCCGGACTCTTTCCTCACGAACCTGCAGGGGCTAATGAACTCCATCGCCGCTGTGGAGATGCGAACACGAGGCCTCACTTTGGGTTTAGGGTTTAGGGTTTAGGATTTAGGGTTTAGGGTTTAGGGTTTGGGGTGGACTCGTTACGTTTCCTACTATAGGGGCCTTAATGACTGGGATAGGGTTTTGGGGTTTGTTATAGTATTGTGAGCGAGGGACCAGAAGGGAATGCGATTACTTGCGTGATTATTCCGACCCCTAGATTACACGCGAAATCTGGTGTCGAAGAGTTCTTTACTGTCAAAACTTGTCAGGACTCCGAAACCCTAAACCCTAAACCCTAAACCCTAAACCCTAAGGGTAGCTACCACCAAACTGTAGCCCTCTTCACCTGCGTTATGAAAGTCTTTTGGGTTCTACCCCACTAAGTCAGGGCAGACACTACTGGACTGTAGGTACATGGAGCCCCAAAAGATGCGACTGCATGAGGGGCTTAGGGTTTAGGGTTTACCTTAAACCCTATAAACCCTAAACCCTAAACCCTAAACCCTGAACCCTGAACCCTAAACCCTAAACCCTAGGCCATGGCGGCTAGGAGGTCACGCAAAACCCCGACCTGCGCGGCGGTGTGCTTGTAAATCGTGATACCAGGCTGGGCTCTGATACCTTTTTCATGCCTTAAAAAGGGCTCTTCATAGGTTTGACTATGGGGATCATAAGGAATGCGCTATTATACTATTATACCTTCTGATCCCTTAACAAAAGGCACATTTATAGGGTTGATTGTGGGGATTAGTAGGCCTCGTAACCAGTCCTGGATATCCCAAATGATGCCTACCCCGAAACCCTAAACCCTAAACCCTAAACCCGAAATCTACATCGTCATAAGCTCTTAGCCAGGGTGCCGTGTTTGGGCCTTGCACTCCCAGTCCAACTCTTCGAACGAAGGCTTGGCGGACCTAGGACACCCGAGCCCTAAACCCTAAACCCTAAACCCTAAACCCTAAACCCTAAACCCTAAACCCTAAACCCTAAACCCTAAACCCTAAACCCTAAACCCTAAACCCTAAACCCTAAACCCTAAACCCTAAACCCTAACCCAGGATCCCCGCAAATCGCCCCCTGGGTTGGGGCTCTGGGGGTTTAGGGTTCCTGGGTTGGGATGTCCCCCCCTAAATACTACATCGTCCTTAGTAGGAGTTGCAGTAAGCCCTATTCTACTCCCCATTAAGAACTGTTTGTAACTGTTGGGGTTTAGGGTTTAGGGTTTAGGGTTTAGGGTTTAGGGTTTAGGGTTTAGTATACGGGGGAACATCCCGAGTTCAGGGGCAGTTTACTGCCAGTGGTTGACAGCACCGATCCTGGAACACTGACCACGATGCCTGGAGCTACTTGTCTACACAGCTCGGCCTTCTCGGGCTGAAGTCTTCAGATTGGGACACACACACACAAACAAAAGGAGCAAACAAAAAAGAAGCAAGCCGGTGCCTTTTGGCTACTCCATGTGGGGGTTTGGTACCTTCTTGGGGTCCTCATTATAAGGGGATCCCACTATTTGGGGTCAACATCGGGGTCCCCTGTTTTCGTAAACCTCCAGTTGGTTCAACTTCATGCGCACGAAGTCAAAGGACCGTTGCTGCAAATGTCTGGACCCTAGGCACAACACGCCCAAGTTGGAATCTCCGGTGCAGAAGTTTCTTCTGAGACCCTCAGCCCTAAACCCTAAATGCTGGTGAGTACCAGCAGGCTGTGAGGAAGAAACCAGTGGACTGCGCAATTCCCCAGAATCGTCCCTCAAAGCCATGGCAAAGCACTCACAAAACGCGAAGATTTTACACGCAGAAAAGAGCGAAGCAAAAGAGTAAAGTAGTCTGTGCTACTCAGTAGGATTTGGCACCTACTTTGTCTAATGTGAAACTGTACATGCTTGTCTTAAACATGCTCAAGGCTACTGTTCGGGCCTATAAGCAACAAAGGAAAGATGCATGGTACAACTGCTACAGAATGACATGTACAGGAGTAGACTTCAACACTAAACCTTAAACCCTAAATTATAAACCCTGAACCCTAGACCCTAGACCCTAGACCCTAGACCCTAGACCCTAGACCCTTCATGGATCCTATGCCATATATCCATACGAGGCGCAGGTCGTCCAAGGTGCAGATGCCACGGGGAGGGATTCCCAGTGCCTCTCGAGAGATCGTTAGAGACTTGTGTGCGGATTTCTGGTTCTTGGAGGGTTTAGGGTTTAGGACTAGAGGGTTTAGGGTTTGGGGCTAGAGGGTTTCGGGTTTAGGTTTTCAGGATTTAGGGTTTATAGGGTTTATAATATAGGGAAGGCTTTTCCTCTCTGCCTCTTTTGGGCGGTGGTCTTCTTGTTTGGCGCTGGACCCTGCGCCGGAGCTCCTTTGCATCCCGGGGGCTCGCGATGTGAAGAATGGCCAGGAGCCGAGCCCCGTTTAGGGTTTAGGGTTTAGGGTTTAGGGTTTAGGGTTTAGGGTTTAGGGTTTAGGGTTTAGGGTTTAGGGTTCCAAGCCAAGAAAGCCAAGGGCTTGGTCCCCTCAACACCGCGGCGTCGGGTGGGATCAACCTGGGACCCACCCTAAACCCTAAACCCTAAACCCTAAACCCTGACGGTTTTATGGGCTATTTACTTACTGCCTCTCTGAATCCCTGAAGCCCCCTGAGCCTGAGATTCCTGCCTCCAGCTGGCGGCAGGCGTGCCATGCGAAGTGATTCCCCATGCTCCTGACCGGAACACTGGTTTAGGGTTTAGGGTTTAGGGTTTAGTTAAGTTGACACTTCCAGTACGAGCACGGACAACGCCGAAGCTCAAAGTTCAGGTTCGCCCCGCTATGAATCATGGGGGGGCTTGCGAGGCTCTTCTTTCTCTCCTGCTTTCGCATTGAAGCTGCACGGGCTTGGAGATGTGCAAGAATACAGAACAAAAGAGACCAAGAGAATTCCCTCACACCGCATTCACGACTTGCGTGAGGACTACGAGGATGGGCCAGTAGGCCTTACAATCCCCAGCATCAACCCTATCAAGGGGCTTTTCAAGGGTTTGTAAGGTATACTCGCCCATCCGGGTAAAGGACTGCAGCCAGGAAGCCAACCCACCAGCAGAAGCTCCGATGCATCGTAGCACCTGACTTCAACTCGAATCGCTGCTGCGTGTTCCTTGCCTCGCGAATCGCGAAGCAAAGTTAGCAAGAAGGCTACTTCTCTCCCTATGTTTCTACCAGGGACACAAGCCTTCTGGTAGCTTTAGATAGAGCTCCAGGCGATTCCGACCCTTCCGCCTCCAAAACTGCCAGCAAGGCACGTCTCAAGGAGGAGATGCGTGAGCCAAGGAGTGGCAGCCATGTTCTGAGCGAAGGAGATCAGGCCATAGATCCTGGGAATTGCACAGGCCAGGGAGGGCGGGGCTTGCTGCGTTTAGGGCTTGGGGGTTTTAGGGGCTTAGGGGTTTTTAGGGTTTGGGATTTAGGGATTTGTTCAGAGGGGCTCTGTGTGGGTAGATTGCCGGGAGCACGAAGTCATCCCTGGCAAGGATGAAGGCTGCTTCCCAGGGCTATGAGGCGGCTCCCGGGTCTTTCAAGGGGTGGGGGGGGGTGGTCGAAATCTCTTGTGTTTAGGGTTTAGGGTTTAGGGTTTAGGGTTTAGGGTTTAGGGTTTAGGGTTTAGGGTTTAGGGTTTAGGGTCGGCAAAGGCCTTTCAAAGCTAAGCTAAGGAGAAGGAGGGCTCCGAGGACTCGAGGTTTTGTGTGTGGTATACCATAATGCTACATGACTCTCGCGCCTCTACTACTTGTATCATTCTGGCTGTCTTCATTCTTGATCCAGTGTTCGTACTGCAATTCCTGCAAGTATTCTCAACCTTATGGCGATGTCATTAAACCCTAAACCCTAAACCCTAAACCCTAAACCCTAAACCCTAAACCCTAAACCCTTGGCCAGGTGGCTGCAGCTCGTCATTGGGATCGATGCTCCAGACTTGGTGAGCAGCAAGTGTCCTGAGGTTTTTCTTGCCAAAGGGTTTAGGGTTTAGGGTTGAGGGTTTGGGTCTAGGGTTTAGGCTGCCAAACCTTGGGGACCAAATGAACCCTAAAAGGGTTCAATAGGAGTTATAGTAATGTGGGGTGTATGGCCCCAATTTTAGGACTCATTTCGTCCCCAAGGACCATGTGGGACCATGTGGGTATGTCTTGCTTGGCCGTTGCCGGGCTTGGGGGTTGCTTCGTTTTGGCGTGCCCGCGTTTTTGCTTTCCGATCGATCAAGAAACAATACAGGGCGGGCATTTTCTTGCTCGGAACGTGTCGGGCCAGCAGCACAAAACAAAAACAGGGGAGCTTCGTTTCTGGGTCTCGCCATATGCGGAGTCCGTTCGTGTGTGCTACGTAAGTGAGTGCGCTTGTTTCTTGTCGCGCTTGCACTTGGCAAAACATCCGTGCAGTGCAGCAGCGCGTTTGCGTTTTGTTGCGTACGCGCCACTTCACACATCGGCACTGACGCAGAGGCAGACGCAAAGTGCCCTCTCCCGGAAAGGGCAGCTATCTACGGTTCACAGCTTCATGACTCATTCGCCGGCGTCTGCAAACACATCGTACGAAGCAGCTGAGTCTGCGCCCTCGACTTGGGGACAAAACGAAGCCGAAAATCGGGGTCATATACCCTTACAAACTACAATGCCTCCTCAGGTGTATGAACCAAATATAATCCCTAAGGGTCCATGTACCTATATAGTATATACTTGGGCCTTAAAGGGGTTCCCATATAGTAGCTTTAGGGCCCAAGTATATACTATATAGGTACATGGACCCTCAGGGATTGTTTTAGGGTCCTTTTAGAGCTCCTGGTCTCCAAGTCTTGTAAACGTCTATCCGAGCCCCCCACTGCGCCAATGCGTGGAACCCGACGTTCCGGTCGCTGGCCCGCGTGGCGCCAGCGACGCCGCAGACAACCCACCTCATGGGGGAGAGGTTCAGGGGTTTAGGGTTTAGGGTTTAGGGTTTAGGGGTTAGAGCTATCAACAGAATATGAAAGATGTGCTGAAGATCCCTTCAATTATTCAACCTGCTGCTCTTTATACGATTTGCGCTTCGACTGCGAGAGATTGCCCTCCCAACCCCCCGAGTCCCCTCGAGTCCTGCCTCGGAGTTGTCGGAGAAGCATCTCTCAGGTCAGCCGGCAGCAAGTGTCCGGCATACTCTTTCCATGATTCAACCAGCGCGGGGCTGGCATGAAGGAGGGCAAAACCGAATCATACAGGACCCACAAACCTTCCGTGTTTTGCTAGAGGTGGCATGGCGACGGCGGCACCAATTTTCGGAAGGCCCTGGAGGACTCGTGTGCCACCTGGCCCGGCGGGATAGGGACACCCAGCTCACACCAGCTGGCACACAGCACCGGATCTCTGCTTCACGAGGGGGGGGGGGGGAAGGTAAGCCGAATGCACCCAAAAGGGCTTCTTGAAGCTCAAAGCTTCAACGCGCCCCAGCAGTGGAGTGTCAACAGGCTCGAGCCTTGCCGCGCATCTGGCAGGATGAGTCGCTGTCACTTCGATGACACTGAGATGCCTGCACCTCTTGCAGTGGCTAACACTTCCGGGGTCGATGTCCTTTCAAGAATGCAATCTACCCTAAGCCAGTCCGAGATCAGCGGCAACCCACATATCCCACACGTCACACGTGGACATTCAGTTCGCTACCAGGACCAAAGGCTTTCCGAGGGCCTCAGCGGTGAGCTGTCATCACAGCTCCGGCGCCGTGGTATGGGCCTTTTCATGCTTCGAAGCCCAGACATACGGTGCGCCCATACGGCAGACAAGGCTGGAGAACTGCATTCCTCTTGTGACTCTTGTGCTTGTTTTAGCTCGCTAGCACAAAACATCAATCTTCCACAGAGGGAACACTCCTCGGACCCACTCTGCTCTTCTAACTCGCGTGCAAAATCTGACCCCCCAACTTGGCACGGTTGTCTTTGTCACACCAACACCAGATTTTGGGGGGGCCCCCAAGGCTCACTATGAAGCTGGGCTGGACATCACAAGGCTGATCCAGAAATCAAGACATGCCATCCGTTGTCGCAAGCCGAGGTGCTGAGCTCCTGCCTCTTCTGCTGTCTCCGCATACGGAAACAGCCCACCCATCTCTCAAAGGCATGTGGCAAGTGCCGTTTCGAGGCATTGTAAGGACAACAATGTTGCGTGATGTGGATGATGCAGGATTTCGGTCATTCGCGCATGTGCCGTTTCGAGGCATTGTAAGGACAACAATGTTAAGATTCAGGGTTTGGAAGGGATGACCTGCGTAATAAAAGTGATGCAGGATTCCGTCCATCAACAGAAATGACTTTCAAAGACCGCCTGAGGACTCGCGACGTGCAAGCCTCACCGTCAAGAGCCGATGGGCCTGCTTGCGAGGTCATGGCGCCATACTGCCACGGCAGAACGGCGCAGCACCAGGAAGTTAGGTGAGGTCAAACCCTTGAACGGCGCCCTCTAGCTAGTTGCACACAGCTTCGTGGCTTACAGATGCTTCAGCGAAGGTGCTGCTTGCCTTGCAAAGGCTTCTGCAACCCGCTGATGCCCTGACGGCTTCTGCACCGCATTGCCTGGGCACCTCTACAAGGACACAAAACTGACCTCGCCGTAGTTGCCACAGAACCTACCAATATGGGGTCCTTCGAAGAGTCACTCAGTAGAAAAGGGTTACCTGCGCATGGGCTGTATAAGAGGAAGCAGTGGAATCAGCCATGTGCCGTTCCGACGTTCTGCAGAAATTGGCCCCTGTTTGATAGGGCCTTGAGCACTTAGGCTAAGCTGACTTCATGCTGCATGTGATCACCGTGGCGAACGACGGAATGGAGGGGGACGATGCATGTTGCAGCGACGGCCTTGTTGGCACTCGCAGCTGGGACGATGCATGTTGCAGCACGATAACCGCTGAGATTCAAAAGCATCCTTTGCGGCAAAAGCATGAGGGGTCTTCTGGGAACAAGGGGCAGGTGCCCAGCAGGTCTTATTGAAATTGCAGAGGTAGCTGCACTGTAGCCAAGTGGGAGGCCAAAGCAGATTCGCAGCCCCCAAAGTTATTCGCGTTCACTTCGGATACGGTTAAGCGGCCGAACTCGGTAGAAGCGGTGGAAGCCTTCACAGGCCAGGAGGCGGAAGGCTTTGTGTGGCCACTTCGTGGGCTCTTTAAGGGCCTTGCTTTCGTAAAAGCAAGAAGAAGATGTGCTTCAAGGAAGCCATCCAAAAGGCAGAAACCCAGGCCGTAGATTTCAGTGCCTCAAGGGCCCAGGGTTTGCAAGTTAGAGGGCGCGCCTGGGCACGGAGAAGCCCATCACCGGATGGCGAATAAGGGTCCCCCTATAGAATTCCTCGAATTTTCGGGGGGGGGGGGGGGGGGGGGGGGGCGGCTGCAGAATCTGCATACGGGACTTCTGAAATTGTCTGAAGGGCGCGGCAAAGCAAAGGGATGTCCCCGGCCCCTACCTTGGTCATTAGGCTTCAGAATCCCCTAACCGGCCCTATAAAGGGCCCTTTTAAGGGAAGTTCTAGGGTATATAAGAGCCCATGTAGGTAGGACGCGAAGCCCGGAACCTGCAGACCTTGGCTTGGAGGTCGCCACTCTGCAGCTCAGGTCAGCTTTCTGAGGAGCCGGGGGATGTGGTTTTCCCACAGGATACCGACTTCCTCCATGGGCTATTCTACACTTGCAACCCCCGGAAGAAGGCCCACTTAGAGGGTTGCTTAGGGGGGATTCTAAGGCCTAATGGCCCATGCTGACTTAGGGGAGTGCTGAAGACGGCTTCGAGGGAGGCTCCGGAAGACCTGAAGCGTTGGGCAGAGGATGTTTCCTTGCGGAGTGCCCATCAACCAAGGAGCCGCATCACTCGGAAAGCGCGTGCGCTCCGCCCCCCAGAGAGCTTCGAATCGGAGTTGCCCTCAACTCACAGTCAATTTAAATCTTCTTTGGTGCCTTTTCACCACCTGCGCTTGCTGTCCCTGCCTTCCCAAAGCAGGCATCTCCCGAGCTCTGATGTGTTTTTTTTCGAGATTGAGAAAGGGCGGCTATGGGCTGAAAGAGCCGGGAAAAGTTCCTGGAACCTGGTGAGAGATGTGGGAAGGCCCTTGAAGTGAATGAAAGATGGAGTGAGTTCGTGGTGGAAGTGTGGCGAAGTGGGTCTGTGATGAGAATCTTCTGGGGAAAGTGAGACGTGATCAGCGCCAGGTCGTCCGTCAGGTCAGCCCCTCTCTTGGCCTGGGAGGTGTCGGAGGTTCAACATCTGCTTTAACTCATCTTCTGGGCTGCGCCTTGATACAACTGAAGCACATCTAGGACTTCTGGATCCAGTAGCAATCGGGCTGCCCAGGTAGCCGCACAAGGAGTGGTGGGTCTCGCTGGACACGTGCTTTCTTAAGGGCACTTTTGCCGGAGTCGCTTCAATGCGCTGAAGGCCATACTTTGCAAGGGGAAATGTTGGGGGCAACAAGAGGGATCTGCAAAACAGCAGTGTCAGTGCTTTCGGGCTTCAATCTGCTACAGGGCATTTGCAAAAAAAATAGCGAGATCAGGGTAGATCAGGGCAATGATCGGCAAAGCCACCGGCGCGGTGTTTGTAGGCTCTGTCGGTTGTGGGCTGGCCTTCGGAGCCCTTACAGCAGGCAAGGGCGTTAGGAGAGAAACGACCAGCCGGGGCACTCTCCAACAGCCGAGCCCCTCCCCCAAGAGGCCCGCAAAAACCGGAACAACACAGACTCGGGATGCGCTGAGTGTGTGAAGGGGCAATCATATGATGGGCGTGTCAATTTGAGAAGCCCTTGAAGGCACCCGGAGCTCGCGCGCGCGCCCGAACACGCCCCTCCGGCACGCTGGCGACTTTGAGGAAACGGTGCTGGAAGAAACGGAGGCCGTCACAGCTGGTGTGTAGCACAGATGGGCTCCCAGCATGGGCTAGTATACCCTATAACCCCCTTAAAGAGGCCCTTGATAGGGGTGCTTATGGGGATTCTAGGGCCTAAGAGCCTATCCTGGTCAGGGATGGGCATGCAAGCACAGCATGTCACGGGAGGTGCCAGGAGAGCACCTGCTGCGCAGCAAGAGCCTGCACGTCAGACACATGGTAGCTTAATGGCTGTTGCTCAGATCTACAAAAGGCAGGAGCACGGCCGACGGCAGAGGGAATGTGGAAATGGACAACTGTGTCCAGCTGCGCCGTCATACGCTCACTGCGCCGGGCCAACTGATGCCAAGACCGTTGGGCCATCGGGCCATTGAGAGGCCCCCTCCAGCATGTAGAGCAGAGGCAAGTCCTCACCTAGAACCCTGAGCATGCGGAGCTGAAGGGCATTGGGATTGCATCTTCATCAGCCACCAGCACCATTGCTGCCGCGACTTCACTAGGGACATGGTCAAGGTATGCTACTTGCTGCTGCACCGGGCGCCTGGGCAGCGCTCAGGACAAGAAGCTGCGAGCAGCATTTGCACATGCTGCCCACAAGAAGCTTTCTGAGCCCTAATCAATTCGACCCTGTTCCGCTCTACTTTAAGCAGACACATATGCTTTGATGTGGCGTCTCTTCTCAGGCCTTCGGGCCCTGGGCCGGCACGGCCCGAAGCAACGCTGGCAAAGGAGGCGGGGCCATAGGAAGCGGTAGGCTTTCAGGTTTTGCGCTTTGCCGAAAGAAAACGCAGCAGGGCCCAAACCTGTGAGGCCATGACTTGGCTTAGCACGATTCAGACACAGTTGCCTAGCGCGGCTGCCTAGCACAGTTGCGTAGCACGGGAGAAGCACGCCTGCCTGGCACGGGATCCTCGCAGGCAAACTGACCGTGGTCGTGACTCGGAGATTGGACAAAAGCACATGGCAGGAACTGGGACTGGGAACGCTTTGACAGCAGAATCTGCAGGCTCAGGGTTTAGGGTTTGAGGTTTAGGGTTTAGGGTTTAGGGTGGTGGATAAGAACTTGAACCTCCGATGTCCAGATGAGGGACGGCGAACCGAACGTAGCCAACGTCGCCGAAACAGCCTTCATCCAACGCTCCGCTAGCTCTCCCAGCTGCTGCTTTTCTCCATCGGTATCATAGGCCCACATAGATGCCCAACCCTGCCTGCGCTAGGCCTGGGAGCCAAAGCGACCGTTAAGTTTTCTTACGCGGAGTTTGAAGCCGCAGGTGTCGGGTGAAGGGTCAGCGTGTTGGGGCAGCCTTGGGCAGCTTGGGACTTGTGCTCGTGTTGGGCTTCAGGTCTGGACGAACCTCCAGATGCATCCCGACACCCCGGTGTCCCTGCTCATAGAGTTGCGGCCAAGGACCCACGCATCCTTGGGCAAAGGATGTTGACCCCGCCTGGGTGTCCAAACTCGCGACGCTGCATGACATGACGAGCCGAGACCGAGGCTCCCGGTAACGCGCAGTGGCGACCCATTCGGGAATGGCCTCCCGCAGTGTCTCTCCTCGCCCTTGTCCCCGCTATCCATTCATAAGTACATGCTTGGTAATGGTCTCAGCAGCCATGGAGTTTTGGAACATAAGCCCAAAGGCAAAGAGGACACCTTGGAATGCCCGGTGGCTTGTTTCTGAGTGAGCGCCAGCAGGGGCTCTGGAATCATCAGGCAACTCTTAGGAACTGTCAGAGCATTCTCAGAGAAACAGCTCCAAACAGTCGGGAACTGTCCCGAAGCGTCGGATCTCTTTTCACGTGACTAGCTACTGTAGGCTTCATAAGGGGAAAACACATCAGGATGGCCGAAGAGCAGGATGGCCGGGGAACTTCGACGAAGACTCGGGATACCAACGGGCCGAGACGAAGTTCGACGAAGGCCGGGGGGCCGGGCGAAGGTTCGACGAAGGCCGGGAGGTTCGACGAAGGGAGAGCGGGTTCGACGAAGGCCGATACAAAAGGCCAAGACAAAGCCCGAAAAAAAACGCGAGGGTTCGACGAAGGCTAAATGAACGCCGGAGGTTCGACGAAGGCCACAAGGGCCGGGAGGGGGGTTCGACGAAGGCCAAGGCTTTCGACGAAGGCTATGGGGGTTCGACGGCCTTTGCCGAAGGCCGTGTGCCATCCGCCCCCATACGCCGTCCTGATCGGTTTGCCCCTGACTTCAAAGCTCGAAGGACCGAAAACGGGTCTTGAGAGAAATGGCACAGTTCTTGAGACCAGGAACCTCAAGGACAGACACCCTCTGCTTAACAGACCATCGGGTACTCTGAAGCGGACACCCGCTACTCTGGCACGCAGCGGGTCATTTGTGCTCTGCGACTCTGCGGTATACTGGCCGCAAACAGGTCATGGCCAGTTGGAGCAAGTTGTCTTTGTTGCTGCACAGTGTGCATGGAAGTTCATGGTCGTGGCAAAGGCTGCAAGGGCAACAGACGGAGTCGCTGCAGACGAGACAGTACCGAGCCAAGGGTCACTCCCAAAGTGGCGTGTCGTGCTTTGCCGCCGTGTGGACACAGTCCCTCATCGTCTGCCGTGTCCGTGGGTCTTGTGCAAGGCATCCTGCCAGGACCCAAGTAGACAGGTTTCCGATTGAACGCAGAAGGAACCGCTTCACAAAGAGGCGCGCAAGAAACTCGCAGGACGGAGACTGGCGAGTCACTGGCGAGACTCCTTAAGAATTCTGGGCGCTTGACATCGCTTCGCGTAGATTGCGTAGATGGAAAGAACGAGGAGGCAAGAAGGCACGCGGGCACCCACAACCCTTGTCAGCCAAAGCTGCAGCGTCAGAAGCCTCGGGAGCTTTCTTCTGAGGGTAAGATGTGTCGGCTCAGAGCCGAAAGCTTCGAAGGCTTATGAGTCACTCGCTCAGAGCTCAGAGCGCACAAACTGTTTCCCTCTCTGCCTCGCAGTGAGAGCTCCAAGTCTCAGTCTCTTGAGTGTCTTTAGTGCCCTTAAGAGCTGGAGAAGCAGCCGGGGAGTACAAACCTAGTGCTGGGAGTTTTCGGGCTTCGGAGCCTTCAGAGAGGCTCCCTTGGGAACTAAAGATCGGCAGGGATCAGAATGTCGGAGGCCAGAGTCGCCTAGGCTAGCGGCTAAAGGTGTATAGGAACTAGGGTTTAGGGTTTAGGGTTTAGGGTTTAGGGTTTAGGGGGACTATGAGGTAGTCCACTCCGCTTTCTTTTCGTGGATCTCGCAGCTGCATGTGCTCATATGCCCTTCAGGCGCCGAGATGTCAAGATGCCAAGGGCCCTTCTGTTACGGGTACGGTGCTCAAGAGCTCGAGGTCTTGCAGTGCGTGCAGATCAGGCCCTACAGAACTGAGAGATCTGAGAGAGCCTAAGCGCCAGCAGCGCAGAGCGTAGTTTCAGAAGCGACTGCGCCCGCCTGATTCTGGTGGGACCTGTCGGCCGCAAAGCGCACGCAACATGGGCTGAGCTGGGACAGCCTGGCCAGTGCGCTCCAAACGCTGCTGACATCAATCATTTTGGCTCAGGCGCCCTGCAAGTACTGGGCTTCATGACAGGCGGCTTCGGCTTTGGGAGTGGAGGAGCATCAGCAAGGGTCAGCTGCGGAATCATGCCACGGATATCATGGGCTGATTGGCTTGAAGTGGGCTGAAGCTCTAGACCAGCAGGTCTGGCACCGAGGTGGCCGAGCAGCTTCTCATGAAGTTCTGAATCACCGCTTCATGTCCGAGAGCAACTCTTGCAAAGTTGCACCGGTCGACGCAGTCACCGAGCCGAGCAATATGTCCTGCCGCATCTGCTGCATGTGCGTGTTCGCTACTTGCTGCGAATTGCTGTCGCTGGGCGGGTGCTCAAAAGATCCCATGGAAACCCAGCTCAATGGAAGCGGCTGCATGGGTTGCATGGGCCGCCTGCGTTCGCGCATGGCGTTGACCTTCGCCTGGTGTGGCCGAACTTCAACTGATAGTTGGGGACTCTGGCATATGAAGGATGCAGCGAAGGGGATGTCTGCCGAAGGGTTAAAGCTGGTGTCGGGCTCATGGCTACCACAGGGATCCCGCGCACGCTTGGCAAGCATCGCTTTCGGCAACATCCTTGCTCTCTAAGGGGCCCCAGCAAACAGAGCTGCTGCGCAATGCCCTGGGTCTCTGAGAGGTGCCAGCAAACCAGGAAGGGCTATTGTACCCTTTCACCCCCTAACAAGGCCCTGTGTAGGGTTGACTGTGGGGATTCTCGGGCTTAATAGCCCATCCTGGAAGAGAGGAAGCAAGGAAATCAAGAAACTGCGGCCAGCAGGTGGCTGAGTAGAGTGGCAGCCTTGGCAGCCTGCCAGCTTGGGCTACTAGGCCTTAAAATCCCGTTGACCATGGTTCTTGTTCCTAGCTTGCAGCTGCGGCCCCCCACCTTTGGCTGAAGGCAGCTCAATCGCAAGAGCCTGTCCAAGCCCTCTCAGCGATGGTTGTGCAATATGTCGAAGTTCAATGCTTTCGTTCCAAGTCTAAGGCTGGGGATGCTGGCTGCCTACCGTTGAGTCAGGTGCGATCACAGGCTGCTGGAAATCCCAACCTCTGCGAACGCGAGAAGGCACACAAGCTAGCCTGAGACACCCTTTGAAGCCGACTGAGCTTCCAAACTCTTTTTACCGGGTTTGCTGAGGAACTGTCTCAATCCAAGCGGGCACACCCAAGCGCGAGGAGCTTTTCAGTCAGACCATGCAGAACAGGTACGGTACGGGGCTTCAGTCTTTACAGAGGCACCCACACTCCAGCCAGCAGGATTCATAGAGCCAAATGCAAGCACGCAGACTAAAACAAATTTCTGGGAAAGCCGGCTGCCATTTCTAGCCATCTCCTTCCATGCTCAGACTTGGGGCGCGGCCAAGTTTAGGCCTCCGATCATCATGGACAACGTGCTGCCAAGGGACCCTGTAACTCGGCCCTGACATGCCCGGACAACTTTTTGCCCCTGGCCCAATTTGAAGGGGCTTTACCAAGGTTCAAGTCGACAAGGGGCTCGAGCTAATACCCACTCTGAGGAGCACGGCCGCAGCGGAGAAGTTCTCCAGGGCACTACAAGGAGGTGTCCTGGGTGATGGCCTTCCACTCACATGACGTTCCAGGCTGGAGTAAAACATGTTGCAAGTTGCCGATGCTCCGTCGCCAATGGCCATGCAAGTCACGATGTGCCGGGCATGTCATTGCTTGGCAGCACGGTTTGGAGGAAGCTGGGACAGAAGTACGCGGATGCATTTCTGACCGCATTCAATGTTGAGCCAGCACGGGTCTGGACACGGCGACCGTTAAGCTTGCAATCGCATGCTTGAGCTGCGGCTTGCTGGTAAGTGTTCTAGTCTTGGTGCCCCACCATGTTCATCGAAGCAAGAGTGTGTGGTCACAAGCTTGATGGTGGCCTGGTTCTCTCGACATCCAAGATTGCAGCATGGCATTGCAGGGAGCACCACGAATCATTGCGCTCGCACGTGTGCAGGATCCTCCCCTAAATGCTTCCTTCGTGCTAGCACGCAACATGACAAAACACCTCGCCTTTGCCCGCGCCGCTGCGCACAAGGAACCCGGCCCAGAGGGTGCAAGGAGGTGCACAGCAAGCACAGGAATCAACAAGTCTGGTCGCCGAAACTTCGACAATCGGGTCAGACAGGGCACCTACACCCGATGAGGCTATCCCATGTCGGATTGGCAGCTCTGTTCAGAATCAGGGTGTTCATTCCAGCACTTAGAGGGTTTAGTACTCTTTTGGGGTTGTAGACTGTAGGCACCCCGCAGGTGAACCATGAAATGTCCCCCAGCTGCAGTGGCAGGCGAAACTAAAAATTGACCCCGAGCACTAGTGAGTTGTCCACTCCACCAGTTTGCATCTACATCCAATCCAACCCAGCATTATCAGCGGGACAAGGCACTGCGTGCTTCATCATGCCTCCTAAACAAACGTACTCGTTTGGGAATCAGAAGCCTCTTCCTGACCTGCCACTGGGCAAGCACACGGCCTTCCTAGAAAGCCACCACCCGCGGCCAACAGCAACCTACTCGCGGATGAGCTTCAGGGGTGGCCCGCATGATTTCCAGCTGTTGGCAAGTCTGCAGTGTGCACATCATCAGTGGCATGGCCGAAAGGCCACTTTTGTGTTCTACGTGGACAGAATTTTGGAGGCCGTAGCACATCCATGGCTCAAGCGGCTGAACGCTCGCCCGGCAAGACATTTTCCAGACCTATCCATTCCAGACTCACGCGGGAAACAGCGGGGTTCTCCGGCACAGCGATCAAACAGTTCTGATCATTTGATACCGGGTGATCGTGTGGCAAGGTCTGGAGGCGCCATGACACCTCAGGCACCCTCGGGCACTTGCGCTTGCAGACGGCAGCGCAACAGGTGCACACGCTTTCTGCCTAGCGCGCAGCTTGCATCCCACGCCAGTGACAAACTGCGCTGACCACGGGAAGGCAGAGGAAGCTGGGACAGAAGCATGCGGACTTTGAATTCCAGATGCACTTCTGACCGCATTCACCGTTGAGCTTCGGCATGCTGGTAAGTGTTCTAGTCTGAACGATGGTGCCCCACCATGTTCATCGAAGCAAGAGTGTATGGTCACAAGCTTGATGGTGGCCTGGTGTTCTCGACATCCAAGATTGCAGCATGGCATTGCAGGGAGCACCACGAATCATTGCACTCGCGTGCATGTAAGTCTGTGTGCAAATCATCAGTAGCATGCCCGAATGGCCACTTTTGTGTTCTATGTGGACAGAACTTTGGAGGCCGGGCAATCCACGCCGCTGGAGAGGCTGCGCCGCCAGCGGATGCCTCAGACGCGGACGTACCCGTTTGCTTGTCAAGGTTTTGCCAAACCTGTCGAGAACAGGCCGACTAAGTTTGACCTGGAGCCTCCTCGTCAATACCCTGGTGAACCCAAGGGTGATTTGGTTGAGAGGGGGGTAGGGCAAGCTGTGCCTGACTCGGATGTTGCTGCGCCGGGTGATGAGCCTGACATCGATATGGACCTCTCCAAGCCTACTTCTGAGGGTGCGACCCGATATGGACATGTATGTTCCCACTGAAGATGAAGCATTTGCTAAGTCAGCAGAGCCCATGGAGGTTCCTGCTGGGGAAAACTTGGAAGCGGATGCTGAGATGGCAGAAGAACCTGAGCAAGGCGATGAGGCCATAGAAATGGCCCTTGACTGGTTGAGAGACCACGCTTTGCAGCAGTTGCTTACGCGCAGTGATGTGTTGTGCGTTGAGCCTGATGTGGTTGGTGTGGCAAGGTCTGGAGGCGCCATGACACCTCAGGCACCCTCGGGCACTTGCGCTTGCAGACGGCAGCGCAACAGGTGGCTCCTGTCTAGCGGGCACACAGCTTGCATCCCACGCCAGTGACAAACTGCGCTGACCACGGGAAGGCAGAGGAAGCTGGGACAGAAGCATGCGGACTTTGAATTCCAGATGCACTTCTGACAACATTCACCGTTGAGCTTCGGCATGCTGGTAAGTGTTCTAGTCTGAACGATGGTGCCCCACCATGTTCATCGAAGCAAGAGTGTATGGTCACAAGCTTGATGGTGGCCTGGTGTTCTCGACATCCAAGATTGCAGCATGGCATTGCAGGGAGCACCACGAATCATTGCGCTCGCGCGTGTGCAGGATCCTCCCCTAAATGCTTCCTTCGTGCGAGCACGCAACATGACAAAACACCTCGCCTTTGCCCGCGCCGCTGCGGACAAGGAACCCGGCCCAGAGGGCGCAAGGAGGTGCACAGCAAGCGCAGGAATCAACAAGTCTGGTCGCCGAAACTTCGACAATCGGGTCAGACAGGGCACCTACACCCGATGAGGCTATCCCATGTCGGATTGGCAGCTCTGTTCAGAATCAGGGTGTTCATTCCAGCACTTAGAGGGTTTAGGACTCTTTTGGGGTTGTAGACTGTAGGCACCCCGCAGGTGAACCATGAAATGTCCCCCAGCTGCAGTGGCAGGGGAAACTAAATATTGACCCCGAGCACTAGTGAGTTGTCCACTCCACCAGTTTGCATCTACATCCAATCCAACCCAGCATTATCAGCGGGACAAGGCACTGCGTGCTTCATCATGCCTCCTAAACAAACGTACTCGTTTGGGAATCAGAAGCCTCTTCCTGACTTGCCACTGGGCAAGCACACGGCCTTCCTAGAAAGCCACCACCCGCGGCCAACAGCAACCTACTCGCGGATGAGCTTCAGGGGTGGCCCGCATGATTTCCAGCTGTTGGCAAGTCTGCAGTGTGCACATCATCAGTGGCATGGCCGAAAGGCCACTTTTGTGTTCTACGTGGACAGAATTTTGGAGGCCGTAGCACATCCATGGCTCAAGCGGCTGAATGCTCGCCCGGCAAGACATTTTCCAGACCTATCCATTCCAGACTCACGCGGGAAACAGCGGGGTTCTCCGGCACAGCGATCAAACAGTTCTGATCATTTGATACCGGGTGATCGTGTGGCAAGGTCTGGAGGCGCCGTGACACCTCAGGCACCCTCGGGCACTTGCGCTTGCAGACGGCAGCGCAACAGGTGGCTCCTGTCCAGCGGGCACACAGCTTGCACCCCACGCCAGTGACAAACTGCGCTGACCACGGGAAGGCAGAGGAAGCTGGGACAGAAGCGTGCGGACTTTGAATTCCAGATGCACTTCTGACCGCATTCACCGTTGAGCTTCGGCATGCTGGTAAGTGTTCTAGTCTGAACGATGGTGCCCCACCATGTTCATCGAAGCAAGAGTGTATGGTCACAAGCTTGATGGTGGCCTGGTGTTCTCGACATCCAAGATTGCAGCATGGCATTGCAGGGAGCACCACGAATCATTGCGCTCGCGCGTGTGCAGGATCCTCCCCTAAATGCTTCCTTCGCGCTAGCACGCAACATGACAAAACACCTCGCCTTTGCCCGCGCCGCTGCGGACAAGGAACCCGGCCCAGAGGGTGCAGGGAGGTGCACAGCAAGCACAGGAATCAACAAGTCTGGTCGCCGAAACTTCGACAATCGGGTCAGACAGGGCACCTACACCCGATGAGGCTATCCCATGTCGGATTGGCAGCTCTGTTCAGAATCA